ATCTTAACCATGAGGTTCAAAATAGTGCAATTGACTTTCCCTTACTCTTCACTCTTGCCAAATGGGCAACGACACCTTCCTCGTAATAGTTGTGAGGTTTAAACATGTTTTCTACGCATTCATAATTTGTTTTTACAGTATTCCGTTTCCTATCCTTCTGCTTAAAAAGCTAAACCTAAGCTGTAATGAGATGAAATTAGTAAATTTGAAGCCCATCAACTGCACCTGATCGATGTGTGTGGTATGGGAAAAAGTGTTTCACAATCTTAACACGATTGCGTGTTAAAGGCTTGGCAGACTCATTCATGAGTCAGTGTGAAGGCTTCGAAACTATAAGAAACTTTTGGATATGGACTTAGTCAATCTAGATGGTTTAAGGTGACTCAAAAACTTATATCATCGTGAGGAATATTCAAACAACGGTGGAAAAAACTCTACAATTCGTCCCCAGATAACCTTAAATGATCTAGATCGAGCAAGTTCCTATTCGTGATTGGCGATCAGGGTCATTCATTCTTCATGAGCTTGGGAGTCATGGGTGAAATTGACTGAATCGGATCGACCGAGGAGGCGTCGAATAACCTCGCCAGTGCACTCAAGTGGGCACAACTTGAGCAATTGTATGAAATTTAGGTCAAATCCTTGCTGCTCGTGTCTTCAAACTTTCTTGTAGAAGAGTAGGTTGGCATTTATTGCAGGAAGTTGCTGGAGAGACGAGAAAGCATCTATTTTTCGGGACACGTGATAGAATGCAACTGATCAACTGATCATATACAATCCGAGATATCAGACAATTGGACTTGTCATGCCAGACACGTGCCATTCTCCTGGTTTGTACAGTTGACAACCGACTCTTGTGGCTCAGTTAACGGACTTGGGCCAATTATGAGCTGATCGCATTGCCAGACTGACTGTGTCTGTAGCCTTATCGATCGGGGGCTTGCGTTTACCAGTCTGTCTGCCTTCTTGTGCCATGAGTACCTGTCTAGACTTGTCGGCCTCTGTACCTGGAGCAACCGGTTGAAAGAGCTGCTGCCCTAGCGACAGCAGATCAGGCGCTAAGTCTGGAGACGTTTGTGAAGGTGGGCCTGCTTTCGAAGGGCAATTGGTGCCAGATCCGATCGGCCCTGATCCCGTCGCCGTCATGGCATGGCGGGTCAAAGGGGCCCTGCTGTCGGACCGCCCAACCGAGCGGGCTTGCTCGGTGCGAGTCGTGCTGGTGGGGCGTTGACATGGTCTGCCCTTCCGAGGCCACGGCAACAGCCAGCCCCTTCGAAGGGGGCTGGCAAAGGTGACCGCAACTGTTCCGCTCGGGTCTCTTGTGCGCCAAACCACAAACGTTGTGGTTCAACATTGAACCTGATCAAAGCCAGCTGTACCACAATATTTGTGGGTTGGCACACCAGAGACTAGGGCATGGCAAATCATAGACTTGGTATTTGGGATAGAGACCATGACACTTAATCAGAGGCTTGAGCCTCTAATTAGTCACCCAGACGCAGGGGAGGGCACAAATGGGGGGGCAGAGGTCGAGTGAAATACGTGAACCAGGGAGATAACAGACGGATGTTATGGGGCAAGAGAGAGACTGTGCTAAGACATAGGGAACGAGGACGGCATAACAATAAAGCAGACTGTGATCAACATTCCCAACAAACTGGTGAAGGGGTGAGGACGCCAGCGTGGAGTGGGAAGGCTCTTCTTGAATGTCGCTCAAAGGAGCACACCATACTACATCGAAATAAGCACGGTACAGATTGTGACAGTGAAGGCGTGATTGGTTGATATAGGAAATGTGAATAGGCCAGGACAGAAGGGGAGATGCCACAACAGTTTAGCACACGTTTGGTCAAAGGACCGGC